GCCAGGCCAGTGCAAGAGCCAGCGAGAAAGGGCTGTCTCCTCTGATGGTGAGGCTGTCAGTCTGGAGGGGCTGGCTCCATGGGCCCAGCTCCCTGGGGAGGTGTGGCCTGAGGGAAGCAAGTTCAGCACATACACCAGAGGACTGTGTCACTCCTGTGTGGAGTAGGAGGCTGCAGCAGTGTGGCCCTACCTGTCCACGTGAAGCCTACCCTGAGGTATCAGGGCTGGGAGTATCTCCAGAGAAGCAGATAGGCAATGGGGGAAGAGAGGAGAGGACAAGAACGGAGCACTGGGTCGTTGGAAGGACATAGAGAATCTGACCCAGAGGGAATGAAAATAAGGTTCAAAGTGGTCACGAGATGGGGCAAAAGCAATAGAAGGGCTCTGACTTGTCAGGTCAGTTAAAGGCCATATATCCCGGTGAGCTCCTGTCAAAGAGATAAGAGGATGAGGGCAAGTTCCCTTCCAGGAAGAACAAGGTAAACTGCATTGAGCACGTACCTGAGCATCTGCTATGAGCAAGGCCTGATGGCCCAGATGTGGGGCAAGAGCTGCCTCAAGCCACCACAGGGAGCCAACTCCAGCTTTCAGTCTGTCCTACCTCCAGCTAACACTTAGCCAGAAATCAGATTCATTTTCTTCAAATGCTCCCTCTGTCGTGAGCTACCCCAACTGAAGAATGTGTGCTGCTTCCCCAACGATGAGACAAACACAGACTCACAGGCTGAGGGAGGGGAGTTCTATTCCCATAGAACAGAAAACTGCTTTTAAGTTCCTATTTATAGTTCCTGAAGATCCTGCTTTCCTTTTTTCCTCGGGTCCAATCCCTTTGCATTGACTAAGGGCCCAGGCTGGACAGTTGACAGTGTGGGTGCCAGGAGCTGGGGCAACTGTGTCAGGCAGTGGGCACTCAGCATGGGCCTTGAGCAGCCCTTGACTTAGAGGAAATGGCAGGTACTCAGTAGAACTCTGCAGGGGGTCGAAAGCTTCAGCAATTGCTTGTAAATGACCACATTTATGACACCAAAAGTAGGTTTGGAAATTCTCCTGAATAACATGCCAATCGCTCCTAGCATGGAATTCAAATGTTGTTCCTTAGTTCCGACCAAACCAATGCCAAACACTTTCCCTGACTTTCAGACTTACATTATTTAATAAAAAATACGCATATAAAAATGACCAGAATACAGAATTAAATAACTCATCTGTACATTGGTATTTTACGTATCTGTGAAAGAACAGTGCTGTAGGGCAGAGGAATTTGTAGGACAGAGGAAGGGCAGAAGAATTCTTCCGATTGTCGGGAATTTACTTGGGAGGGGCAATGAGCTAACCGCAAACCTTTGCTTCTGGTCATTGCTTGCTTGCTACACCGCTGTATGGGGAATTATGGGATGAGGTCATTGAAGCACGGGCGACTGGCCCATCAGGCAATAGAGGGCAACCAACCGCCAATTATTTCAAAAGGCAATAGTGGGCAACCAATCATTTTAAAGGTCAACACATGATCCATGCGTAGTCAGCTTGTGCGCAGCTTGTGCACCATGGGGATAAAGGCATGCCGTTGTTCCGGTCGGGGTCCTTGCCTGCGAGAGTGGCCACTGCGTTGGTGCTCTGGGGCTTGGACCCTGGCTAGCCAGAAAATAAACCTCCTCTTGTGTGATTGCATCCTCGATGTCTTTGCTTTTCTGTCCGGTGGGGCTGTGGAAGGTCGGTCCCTAACAAGTGCCACAGATACTCTATTGACATGAAAACATTTTAAAAATATCTTTTAAAAATCCAGGTACAAAATAGAATATACAACATGACTCTTTTATAAATATGCAGACATATATGAATGTATGTGTACATACACATTCATATAGGAAAAAGGTCTGAAAGAATAAAAGTAAAAGGCTAAAAACAGCTGATGCTACATAAGAGGATGGTGTGATTTTCTTGTTCCTTTTATTTTCTTTCCAGTTTTTCTTTAGTGCGATCTGTTATTTTGTCCACTCAGAATATCACCCACTGTTGGAGGACTGCTCTTCCTCCAAGTCTTGTGAAAATGGCCTTTGAATGGCACCTTAGCCCGGCCCACTATTGGGCCAGCAGTGGGCACAGGACCTGAGCCAGGCCAGTGTGAGTGCTCACTGAGGGCTGGCGAGGAATGGCTGTCTCCCCTGACTGTGAGGCTGTCAGCCTGGAGGGGCTGGCTCCATGGGCCCAGCTCCCTGGGGAGATCTGGCCCGAGGGAAGCAAGTTCAGCACATACACCAGGGGACTGTGTCACTCCTGTGTGGAGTAGGAGGCTGCAGTAGTGTGGCCCTACCTGTCCACGTGACACTTACCCTGAGGTATCAGGGCCGGGAGTGTCTCCAGAAAAGCAGATAGGCAATGAGGGAAAGAAAGGGGGGGATAAGAATGGATCACTGAGCCATTGGAAGGACACAGAGAACCTGAGCCAGAGAGAATGAAAATAAGGTTCAAAGTGGTCACGAAATGGGGTGAAGGCAAGAGAAGGGCTCTGACTTGTCAGGTCAGATAAAGCCCACATTTCCCCATCTGCTCCAGTCAAAGAGATAAGACCGAAGGTGTCCTCAAACTATGGCCCACGGGCCACATGGGGGTGTTTTTGCCCGTTCGTTTTTTGACTTCAAAGTAAGATTATGTGCAGTGTGTGTAGTAATTTGTTCATAGTTATTTTTAAACTATAGTCCAGCCCTCCAACGGTCTGAGGGACAGTGAACTGGCCTCCTGTTTAAAAAGTTGAGGAACCCTGGATAAGAGGATGAGGGTGAGTTCCTTCTAGGACGAACAGGGTAAACTACATTCAGCATATCCCTGAGCATCTGCTATGAGCAAGGCCTGATGGCTCAGATGCGGGAAGCAGCTGCCTTAAGCCACCACAGGGAGCCTCCCGTCCTTGACCAAGGCATGGAAGTTTAATAGAGACTCTTGTTTTTCCGTAGAGACTGTTTTACAGGGGGATCACCCTCTGTAAAATAATTAATATCCAGGGATACACATTAAACCCCTTATTTTTCTAAGGCACATTTAAAGAATATTTTTCAAGCACCTGAGATGTGGCAGATAATGCACTAAGCCCTGTGGATGTCACAGTGACCAAGTAAGCGTTGGAACTGTGCTCAGTGGTGTGGACAAGTGCGGGCCTGGGAAGGCACAGGACTGAGGTCCTGGGGATACCTGAAAAGGTCCTCTGAGCCAGCAATGCCTAGCATTTGCACCTTCAAGGTCTAAGGTGTTCCTCAGGTTTCTTGAGAACCAGGGGCACATGTGACAATCCAACATCTGCTCTGTCAGCAGCACCGTGCACCCTGCCTGCAACCCTCCCAGCAGTCCTGTAAAGGTGGGCACTCAGAGCCACGCTTCAGAGACAGGACTTAGGCTGACAGGCTGAGCAACTTCTCCAAGGTCGTCCTGGTGGTAAGTGGTGAGACCAGGACCTCGTCCAGCTCTGGGTGGCCCCATGCAAGGCGACGGTGCCGGGTCATACCAGGAGGTGTGAAACTTAGCATCAGCCAACACAGGGAAGGAAAGGAGCAACAATGGTCATCGAGGAAATTAGACTCCAGGTTCATTTCTGAAGGTGGTGCATTGCCTGCACTGGTAATTGGGCAATTTGGGACTAGGAAGGTCCATCTGTTCTCAACACTCTGCTTCCTCAGGCTTCTCCAGTCTGGCACGCGTGGACGCGGAGGGAAATGTGAGGGAGAGGTATGTGCAGGCTCTGGTAGGGATGGGAAGGGCCTGGCCCTGCCTTCTGGGGCTCAATCTAGAACAGAGGCCCAGCTCCACAGCAGAGACAGGATGGCTGGGGGCAGGACGGGAAAAAAGATTTATGTTTGAGCTGAAACCTGAAATTCTTTCACACCTTTCAAAAGTTTAGAGACAGATAATTGAGAGGCTAACACACCACAGGTGCATTCATTTTAACATTATTTCTACTTAACAGGTTTTATCAAGATCATCCTCAAAACCTTTTCTTGCTCTTTAACCTGAGACTAATAACCCAGGGATAAAATCATATCCAGTTTAATCCCAAATCAGTTCAAGAGACCTCTTGTTACTTCAGCTTCCCCGGGTATTGCGAACTGAGTATTTCCAATCCAATTTTATTGTTGGGCACTCCAGGGGAAGGGTAATGGACCAAATGAACAGAGAAACTTGAGTCTTTAAGCTAAGGTTTTAGTGTGATATTAAATGCTATTCATTAAAAAAATTATTCATATATCTCTATTTTTCTTTCCCCTAATACATCATTCTTTTCTTTTTGACCCTTTCAAAGTTCCTGGGGTTGGTGGTGCTGTATACCTTTTGGCTAAGAATTCACCATCTGGGAAACAAGTTATGCATTGAGAACTTTCCAAAGGACAGACCATACGTATGGACTTTTCCAGCACTTTAAATACTAACATGTGTTTCACAATTATTAATAATTTAAAATCGGTCTACAGTTTCTTTAGGTTAAATCCAGGCCCATTCATATTTCACAGTTGTTAATCTGGGTAAGTAGGCTACACATGACTAAGGACTTCACTTCTCCCTTCATGAGCTTCTATTTAAGATCACTTTATATTTTAAAATTACTGGGATTTTGCCAAATCAGTGACTGTAAAGCCAAATTCAATAAACTGAAATAAAATTCTGATATATTTCCAGAATCTCCAGAAATGTTTATGCTATCTTCAGAGGAAATAAATTAAAAACCACATATTAAGAACCAGTATTTATTACTTACTAATGATGGATTCTCACCATTTACTTTCATGCTAACTTCTCTATTAAATAGAATACTGATTTAATGGAACAGATGATGGTTATACCAATGGCATTGCAATATATTCAAATATTAAAAATAAAGCTACAATGCTGAGTAATTGCTTCATATTCATTATAATTCTTATGGGATAGAATAAAAAATACTATCAACCAAGCAGAAGCTACTTTTCCTAAGTGCTTATAGCAGGAGGAAAAAAAAATGCCCAAATCTGTTGGTGTAAGATGTAAGAAAATATATTTATTTTTTTCCCATACTATGATAAAATTGTTAAATACATGCATGTTTTAAAAACAGACATAAGTAACACCTTTAGAGTTAACAGCCAAGCATACTAGTTTTATATTTATGGTCTCTTAGTAATAGATTAATTATATTGTATATTCTTACTATAACCACGTCTTCCAAAAGATATGGAAACTAAATTCAGAAATTATACAATGACATAAAGTGTCCAAGTTACCCACACTAATAGCAACATAATATCCAAATTTTCACAAGGCAGGAAATACTTCAGTTTTCATCTCTGTCAGTGGAGTTGTTTTATTTCATATTAAACTAATAATTCTATAAATCAAACTGAATCACACAAATGTACTTCAATCTATACTTTACTTCTTTTATTTGTATATTTAAATGTTTCTTATATGATTAAACATGATTTTAGGTACAGCACATCACAAGTGATCATTCACATTTAAAAAAAGAAATGTCTGTAGTGGTAACATTTCAAGAAAGGAAAATGGGAAGTTTTGGATATGCAGTTTCTTCCTATCTTCTTTCAGCTACATTTACAAGCACTTGACCAAACAAAAATCAGTAAACAGTTACTAATATTTATAAAAACTTAAAATATTTAACATATAACACCTCCTTTAAAAAAACACTCATTCTACAAACAACTGTATAAAAGACAAAAACTTATATCTGTTCACAGTATGTGTATTTTTGTAAACAGTAATTCGCTATAATGCAATTTCGAAAGTAAAAAATGGTAATTTTCTAGTGTTATAAGGATCTTGATTTATGGCCTGTAAATGAAAGAGAAGATAAAAACATTCTTACCAGGAAAGTTGAGTATTTAAAAATGATTTAATTTTACCTTTAAGGTAGTGCTATCTCAAATCTAGAATGTCTATTTCTAGCCAGGCCAATCTTTTTTAAGCAATTCTGAATTGAAATGTATTTAACAAAAAGTCATGCTCCTTTTGGAGAAAATATTAGGCTAAAACAAATCCCAGGGTACCCATAACACCTACACCTCCACAACAATGAAGTTTCTTTTTTGCATACTGTCTTTCACTATTCACAACACCATTCACATTTTTCCTAAATATTAATATTAAAAGGAAAAAATTAAATAGAAGGAACCACTAGCTTATCATATGTTAGAAATAATGGGGGAAAGTTATTTGGAATCACACTGGGGGAAGAATGAAATAATTTTTATGAAAACCAGTGTTCTTTTCTATAATCAATTGCAAAAATAGTAATACTAATGTTAAACCTAACAGTTAACAACTTTTCCACGTTTTAATGAAAATTGTATTACCACCTAGAAATATTTTGATCTTAATAAAAATTGTATTACCACCTAGAAATATTTTGATCTTTTATAATACACCACTGGAATGCTTAGGAAAATAGTAAGTTCAGAAGTTGAAAGTTACCCATTTAAAATTCTAAAGGGAAGTACACTTTAAATGTATAAAGAAATTCAATAATTTAAGTGAACATTTCAATCAGGTATGCATAATATTTTAGGCTTAAGTGCAGCACAAGGTCTATATTGTTAGCTTTTTTTTTAAAGTTCTGATTGGCTACTGTAAAGACAATCTTAGAAGACATATAAATGTAATAAAAATCCATCTCTTTATCAATTAGACCTTTTTTCCCCACTCACATCTCTTTGTTTTTACAGTATTCAGTTCTAGCAACCAAAAAATAATGTATATTTTAATGATTTGTTTTTGGTTAATGTTCAATCAGTTTTAGTTTTACTTCTATAAGAGCTTTTAAATTTATTGTTTTTATGGGTCTTCAGATAGGCACTTACAAATAAAAAACATTCAGAGGGTTTCCCCCTTAAAATACTACTTTTAACTTTCACAAAAATGTTGCACAGTTAAGAATTTATCTTGCATATCTTGCATTCATCTTTATCTTGTAAATTCTGTTTGTGACTTGGATGTTTATAATCCAAACTATTAACATTCCTAATATAGGGAGAAATAAGCACTACTCATGGTTAAAAATAATAGATTCCTGTCATAACCCAATATCATAATTATAAGGTTTTGGATATATTCACACCTCCTGAAACTTTATCTTATACAACAAAGCCTGACATACTGATTAATTAAATGTTGATCTTTATTCTCTATACCAGCATTAAAAATAGTTCATCTGTATTATGATTAGCATGAATATAACCCTGTAATAATTCAAACAAAAGCACTAATTAAAAAGGAATAAAAATCTAACCACCCTAGCAAAATAAGAGGTTAAAGTATTATTAATAGTCCTGACACATAACCTATGAAGATAAAAATAAACCAAATTCAAACCAAGTAATTTCCAATGATACTCTAAGGATGTCTAAAAGATCAATGTCCTGTATGTTTGGCTACAAATCATTTTCTTCTGTGAAAAATTTTCTTCTAGATATAAAAGAGGGGCATGAAAACAATGAAACTTTGTTTCAGCAGGAAGTGAAAGTTCAAAATAAATTTTATGCTTTGAAGAACTAGTTTACCAAGAGAATGAATTCTCGTATTAATCTATTACCTTCACACATCAATGCATTGTTTGCCAGAATACACACTGGTTGGCACAAACATGTCCTAAGTTTTGTACCCATCAAATAAAAAGAAACTATGAACATTTAAAATTATGGAGAAATAAGATATCTAATGATATGTGAGCAGGACTCTTTCTTAAGTTTTAACTCAAATTGTGGAGCCATGTCTATCTATAGTAGATTTGAATCTAGGAGCCAAGAGTTTCAGAGCTACACAAGCTAGACCTTGATATATACCACCCTTCAGGAAAATTCCACTGCATCTACAATACTCTGGCATGAGACTCAGATAATAAGAAATTAGTCGGTGCAGTGTCACTATATGCCTAAGTCTTATTTACCTCATGATCCCACATTTTACTTTGAGAGGCCCAACTATAGTTTCAATATAAGGGGAAAAAAGGCATACAAACTTTAACATAGTTTAAAATAGAAAACAGCAAAAATTACCTTAGAGCAAACAAACAAAGCATTTTATCAGATTATGTGCCTTATCAGTAGAAAACTTTAGGATAACATTTTTTGAATATTGACATGTTAAGGAGTACTTAAATTTCAAACTTGCATAAAATTGATTTCAAATTCCCTTTGGAAGAAAACATTCCCTAGTCTCCTTCACTGAACTACATTTAATTACCCAAATACAAAAAGGACTTGTAATGTTCTTTAAATATGGACGGTATGAAGACAATTTAGAAATTACAGGACTAATTTCCAACTAGAATACAGTATGCATGAAGTTTTAAGAATGTGACTTTTTACCAGTTTCTGAAAGTACGACAGTACTAGACATTCTAAATGCAATCCTTCAGATCCATGAGCCGTGAAAGTAATGCTGGTTTGGAAAATGAGGTTGATACTTCCTCTTTTAAACTTTTCAATGAATGGCTGCTTCTGTTTCTAAGCTGCAGGAACAAAGCACCTCTATCACATAAGCACATAAGCGCACAACTCAACTATCCAGACACTCAGGGCCACAATCTGAAATCCAGGCCTGTAAAGGTTCAACAAATTGGAGGCTTACATTGCGTATGTGTGCTAATCCATACAATACAGAATTCACAAGGTTCATCTAATGTCAAAAGCCTAAGTCTTTAAGAATACTTCTATATTAAATATTATTTATTTAAAATGGTCACTCAACAAAAGAAATGCAGTCATAATAACCCATATAATGATCTCCATTCATCACAAGGGCAGCTTGATTTAAAATTGGCTTGTTAGTGAATTAACTTATATGAGAGGTAAAAAAATGTGTCGTGCATGAAGTACTATTCAGATGACATAATTATATTTTAATTCTAGTTTAACATTTAGGTTTTTCTAACTGATGGTTGGGCTTTTGCTGAGTAAAGAGGGGTTTCCCAATTGTTTTTTGAGTCAGTAAGGGGTACAGGGAACTCATCCAGCCTCCCCTTCTAACTAGTCCTTAATTGTCCCCTCAAGGGAGAAGTAGCTAATCTGACTGGACGGAGCACAACCACCATTATGAGACCGCTTGACACAGAGGCACGGTCTCTGCACTGACAAACAGTGCATGCGTGCCAGGGTCTCAAACAATGGGACACGTGACAAAGGGTGTTCTCTCCCTCCCTGCTCCCTGTGCTGAGGATGCCCTTAGATGCACAGGTGGGGTGGGGCTGAGAGGCAGTAACCTCGGATGTGCACAGGGGTCTGGCTATCTTCAACTCAACGGGGAAAGACAAGGAAAGAAAGACCTGAAACACAGCATTCTTTTAAGCATACAGCAAGTTGTGGGGAGCCTGTCCAGACTGACACAGAGCCTTACTCTGCTTCTTGTTAACCTAGCGATCCTTGTGCATGGAACTCCAGAGGCAGGGGAAGGGTGAGTAGCACTCTGAACCTTTTTCATGAAGGAAAACCAGTGAAGTCTTGAACAGAATGAAAGGACTTAAGAGCCCCAGTGATGTTCACCATTAGCCAAACAAATGAGTCATTGGATAGGGTGGGAAGGGCACTGGGTCCAGAAGGTCACAGTTAAAATGCACATATAAGTACATTGATGACAGAGATCAATCTCTTCTGTCCTTTTCCTATTATTTCAGGCTAACATCATTTACTTCAATAAACTTTTACCGTGGCCAGTGCCTATCCTTGTCCTAAAGAGATGAATATAAGAACAGGGGAACAGGCATGATTTAAGGGTGAGTAGACTACAATAATGACAAGCTTTGGCAGAAAGAGAACGCAGCACCAGGTCTGAGTGCCTGGGCTGGAAGCTCAGGGTAGGAGCCAAAGAGGACAAAAAGAAGACAAGAGAAAACTGTTTAGGGATGGCTCCGGTTTGACACATTTTCTATTAATGAAAATTTCTATGAACTATTATATATTTTAATACACTATCTATGTACATAATTAATTGTATGTCATTCCACATATTCATAACATCATGAAGCTTAGAAATTTAGTTGAATCCTAGCAGGTAAAAATCAGGATTCACACACAGAGTATCTAAATAGATTTTGTCACTTGTCATTCTGTGGCTTTTTTCCACAGCATGGTTTTTAAAAAGATACAATATGAACTTGAAAACAAATAACTGATCCATTATTTTCAAATACATTATAGAACCTCAGATGATTAAAAAACAAGCATATCTTAACTTATGCAGATATTTTAAGTTTTTAGGTACTTTTGCCTTAACTATCAAAAGACAAAATACACAGACAACCCGAGGGCAAGAAAAATACAAGATATCTTTTAATTTTTCATTCTGCTTTCCCAAGAACCACAATCACTCTAGATTTAACTTATAAGAAATGAGGGTGGGCAGAGGATGCTGTGCTGAAGACACAACTCCGCACAGTTCACCAAGCAACTGCTGCACCTGCCACATAGCTACGCCCACGGACTCACACTGATTTCTGACGTTTACTATGAAGTAGCCCTTGGGTAACTGTTCCTGTAAGAAGCATTCTATCTTTAGTTTTATATTTTAAAATGTGAGGACTGGATCAGACGGTCTGGAATGATGATCATTCAAGAGGAAGTTAGAGGTAAGACTCAGGAGTGGGAGGAACACTGGCGAGGAGGTGTCAAAGACCATCACTGCTTGGGTGACCAGGCCCAATGGCAGGGTCTTCTAAGGAGGAACTAAGGCCAATCACAACTATATGGATAGCTAATGCCACGAGATATTGCTTAGTAGTCATCTCACATAGTAAATAAGTGGAATTATATGCTTATGAATAATATTGAATTTGCTCATATAAAGCTGATGGTTATGACATTTTGTGTCACAAAATCTTTTTTTTTAACTTGGATCTATAGTTTTAGAAATTGAAATTTTAAATATTAGGACAACCAACTGCAATAATGGAAGCTAGCATAAAAGCTAAAAAATAATGACAAGGTTTGAAAAACATAGCAAAGCAAGAAAACATGATTCTGATTTAAGAGGGTCAGTGTCACACTTGTTTTCCAAGTTTGCACCCCTGAGATAACCATTGTACAGTAGGCACAGAAATCAGCATAGTTCATCAAACAAAACACTAAATAGCTGTTGCTATATTAAGAATTATATTAATTTTTGTAAATGCTGTTGATAGAAGAGAATAATCTTAAAAGTTTTAAAATCTGTGCTTGGTTTTCACCTAGAATGGAGTAAATGTCAGGCAAATAAACATCATCTGTTACTCTGACATTTTTCTCCCTAGCCTGCAAATCCACTTGAAATTCTATAAAGTATACATATGAGAAAACCATTGACAACAGAACTGAAGATAGTTGTGGCAGGATTTGTTTTGCATGTACGTACGACTCAGTATTAGCCTTGAAATGCTTCTTGAAGGTAGAGCATGTGAGAATTCTTTGGCTCGATCACAAAGAGCTCCAAATCTTGAGTTGTGTGGACTGAGGATTCTGAGTCATATGCTTTGGCTTTTAGACTATATTAAAAGCACATTAACACTTGTAGTGTAACTTGCACGTAGTGAAGTTCACCCCACTAACAATACTTCACAGGATCCCTCCAAGAATGCCCAGTGCTGATGCAGCAGCACTGGCAATAAGAGCTTATTGAGATGGCAGGCTGAAGTGACACGGTGACACTGTTAATCATTTGGCTTGTTCTGAAAAAAGTTTGTAAAGGACCACCCTCCTCCACTAGATTGTGGAGAGTCTTCATCTTTAGGAGGAATCAGAAACTGTCGGGAGTTAATGGAGCACGGACTTCCAAAGGAGACAATTTCACTGTTGCTGTCTGTGGATCTAGGAGAGTCTGGAGATACTAAATGCCAAGTATTTACATTTGCCTGAGGTCTGTAACCTGCCGTTTTATCTAAGTCGCCCTCTGCAGCTATGTCTTCTACAGTAGAATTAATGGGTAGGTGCATCTGTGGCTTATAGCCTGCCCCTCCTACAGGGTCCTTTTCCTGTTCTTCCTCTGGTCTCGCCTGTGGCTGATACATGGACTGAACATCGATGTAAATGACTTGCGAAGTCCCTCCGGCTTCATCCCCGCCTGGGTTCGGTATTTCTTCCTCAATGATGGGTGGGCAATAGGACACAACCACGTGGTTTTCAGGTTCTGCATCAGAGCTATCTTCAGGACATTCAGCTACTGGGGAAATTATTTCTGTATCTTCTATTTTGGGAAATGTTGATCGAGTTTCCAGAACCTCAACATTATTTGGGGTACAAGGATTCATTTCCAATGTTTTAAGAGCACCGCTTCCCTAAAAATAAATTTAAAAACAGTGATTAAGAATAGCACTAGGTGCTATTGCAATGCTCCTCTTACAAAAAGAGGCATAATTTTATTTTTCCCTCACATTTGCCTGTAAACATGTGCCTCTACACCCCTGTGGTATACACTACAGCACAGCCACTTGTTTCCTCCCTATCAATATTTTCCTCACTATAATAGTCGAGAGAAAAACTTGGAATAAACTATTTAACATTAATAATTTTAGAAACTTAGCAGATGTTAAAGCATGCTATTTTCTCAATACTTTTTACTTAGGATGACATTTGCATATTACAAACTTTTCACAAAAGACGAAAAAGAGAAGCCAGTACTTCAAAGATAAATATAAGAAAATAAATATTACCTCACAGACACTCTTTTGAAACTGTAATGCTTTACAATTTTCTGGATTTGGAATATCAGGGTAGAAGGTTTCTTTAATCCTTTAAATAAAGAACAATTAAGTAAATTTAATAATTATAAGATTAATAATTAGGTAATAAGCAAGTTAATACATCATCAGGCTTATTTTGAAGTATTTATGAATGCTTTAATGAAAATATGAGATGAAAATGGGGATCTTGAATGTGATCATTCACTAGAGCAAAACCGAAATGGAAAGATGACATTTGGTCAGTGTTGTACCCTGTTTTCATATTTATTATTAAAAAGAACTTTATCCTTTGAAATTCCTCCAGGAAAAATTACTTTGTTTATATGAGTCTGAAATGCTCTCACTTCTAAACTCCCTTCTTAGTCTTTCTTTTGTTTTCTGTTTTTGGTATTGAAATAGTTGTTTTTAAAATGTGATTTTTGGTAGTAAGAATATGGTTACCAAAACAGACTAGTCTATATTTCTACAACTACTATTATTTCAATTTATGAGCCAGGACTACTAGAATAAATATTCTCTTCTTTGTCACAAATGATGGCACTTTCAAGGCCAGTGAGGACGTGTCTGCGCACCAACGCAGCCACCGGCCAAACACAGCCAGCCCAGGACAGCTCCCACCCGGTGGGCACTCTCTCCGGTTGAGCCCCACTGGCCCCACCTCACCTCACCTCACCTCATGCCACCCAGTCCTGCTGCACCCAGCCACACAGCTCCTCTCATGTTCTCCACAAGGTTAAGCCAGAAGCTATTCTGTCTGGAAAATTCTTTTCCCTTTCCTTACCCTTTGGGACTCTCCCACAGAGTGGCTTGTCCGACCACCTCCCAAGACGTGGCCCTGCTGGTCTCACAGCACCTGGCTCCCTTCCTTCCTCGCACCCTCTGCAAGCGTGTATCTTTTGGATGTTGTGGTTCACTGTCCCTCTTCCCCACAATACTATACGTCTAGAAGGACCATGATCCTTTTGTTCACCACTATATCCCCATTAACAGGGAAGGCGTCATTCATATTTGTCGAATGAATGCGTAAATGACCAAAATGACCAGATTTTCTGAACAGATCACCAGGAAAAGTGAAATCTTCATCATACAATTACAGTTAATCTTGCAGATAGCTAGTGCCATATATATTTGTGTGTGTAAATTTTTTTAGTACAATTGCTATTACTTTATTAGTGAAAACAGTAGGGAAAAATTTACACTTTTATATCCTATTAGTTTTAAGACTTTTAAATAATATGTTGTGTTCTTGCTTAATATTAAATTCAACATTAATTCTGACTAAAACAACTTTTTACTAGCTCGTTACAACTAAACAAATATACTTAATACAAAAACTATGTAAATGTGTCCTTAAGAACAAAAGAGCAAGAGTAAACACAGGTACCATTACCATTCTCTCTTCCGATAGCAAAGGATACTTGTTACCACTCCGACAATGACAGCCACTGCCACTGGGATGAGAATGGCAATAATTAACCCCACGGCTGAAAAGACAATGTTGCAAATATTAAAATCACCATTTTTAGTATAGGTTGATAGATTATTTAGAAAAAAAATCAAAATTAACTGCTCCAGCGATACAAAATGTAATATTCCAGAAGAAGTTTTAAAACATAACCTTTAAGAACTGTAATAATTTTTACACTAATACTTAGATTAGTATTAGCAGGGTTTCTCAATCTTGGCAGTTTTGACATTTTAGGCCAGAGAGCTCTTCCCTGGGTTGGGGCTGGGGGGATCCTGTGCCGGCAGGAAGCTTGGCAGCATCCCTGGTCTCCAACCACTAGGCAACCAAAGGTGACACCAGACAATACCAAGTGACTCCCAGATGACAAAATCATCCTCTAGTGAGAACCACCGCTTTAAAGAAACAACTCAACAGCTGCGTATAAACCCCAACTCATGGCTAGAGGATAAGCCCGAGATCAAATGAAAGTTCTTTGCTGGCTGAAAGACAGCACTCAAGCCTGTCACTCTTCTCTCATCTCAAATTTACGAGTGCTGTGCTGTACAAAAATTCTTAAAGGACATTTCTTTTACTTTTCCCTGGATACCTTAAAAATGACAGAATAGCTGGGGCAAAAAATTTTAAACTGGTTGCCCATTATATAAAGTCGACATGAATTTAGACCTCTAGACTACAGACATTAATGTCTTAGGTACTCATTTAGAAATAGCTTCAAATAACTGACAAGAATAAACATGAAGTCGTCTCATGGCATTTTAATACTTCCCTCTACCAGTCGTAAAAATGCAACAAAATGAGAAATTTAAAAAAAGGCAGGGGAGGGATTCCTACATAAACCAAAAATCACTAGGAACATTATACATTTAAGGATGAAAAACATCTCAACAGCAATCTTTAACTTACAATTTTCCTTTGTCACCACGAACATACTCTTCTCTGGGCCCAATCCACCGTCTGTATAGGCTTGCAAGACCAGGTGATAACTTGTTTTACCTTGAAGATCAGCAATTCTCAGTGTCTTCTGGGATATGTCAGTAATATTCTTAACCTTTATGTCAGAACGACCTATTTTTCAAATGAAGACTATTATTATTTATCTCTAACTCATATTAAACACATGGTTACTCACACCTGTCACATCAACTGCCCTTCTAGGTGGGTCTGGCTACAGCCACCCCCAGCCAAAGACTCTGGAGCCAGCCAGAGCCAATTCAAGTTCTACCTCTGCCAGTCAGTTGCTATGTGATCTGGGCCTACTATTGCATTTAAACCACTCTGAACTTGAATTTTTCTATTAATAACTACAAAACAGATTATGGGCCAGGTACAGTGGCTCATGCCTACAATCCTAGCACTTTGGGAGGCCAAAGCAGAAGGAACACTGGAGGCCAGGAGTTTGAGACCAACCTGGGCAACAAAGCAAGACCTTTATGTCTCACTTATAAAAAATACACCTATTAAAAAATTAGCTGGGTGTGGCAGCATACGCCTGTAGTCCAGCTACGTGGGAGGATCACTTGAGCCCCAGGAGTTCAAGGTTACAGTGACCTATGATGGTGCCACTGCACTCTAGCCTGGGTGACAGGAAGAGACCCTGTCTGCTTTAACAAAAAAAAAAAAAAAGAACACTATCACATCACGAATGACGACTCACCTCACAGGGCTATAGGGCTGCGTGAAGTTTTCATACACACCCTTTAGAATAATGCCTGGAATGTAGCAGGCATCCAATGGAAGTCATTTCCCTTTCTGCTACTGAGAGCATGAAAACCACCACAACCCAAAGCCCCCGGGGCTGATCCTTCCGGTGAGTGAGAGAGAGACAGGGATGAAGCGAGAGTGCAGTTCAATAGAGAGGAACTCAACTCACTCAGAAAAGGATCAGTGGATCCCAAATGAGAGACTAATGAGAAAGCCTTTGAGTCAAACTTCAAAAGAGAGTATGAAGAATTGTTTAAACTATTACTTTATTTTAAAAATTTTAAGCAGAATAATATAAGATGATAGTTCAAAAACTCCAATAGTACTAAGTGGCTAACAACAAAAAGCAGCAGCTCCCTACCAGCCCCTGCCCTCACCCCCACAGCCACTTCAAAACCACATTATCAGTTTCTTTGGGTATTTGCCTCCATACTTCAAAATGACAAACTTTGACAGCTGCTCTTGATTTTGAACTTTGAGACCTTATCAACTCATGTCCTGTCAGGGCAGATGAAAACTGAGCTCTTTTACCCCCTGCTGCCCTCTCCCCACAACGGCATTCATCTAGGAACACTGGAACATTTGGCGAACTCACATAATGAGTTACTGCTAAGACAAAAATCGCTTGGTATGTTTCCCTTCTTGTTTTCCAGTGTTTTAAATGCCTTTTATCCTCATTTGCTTGATTTTCTGTATACCAATTCCTAATTCTCCCCACATTCTCCAATGAAGATTCAACATCATTTTCCACATGGTCAAACACAGTAAAATCCCAGTCCCATGTCACCTTTTCCGCCCCCCATCCCTCCCTCCCTCCCTCCAGGGACTCTCTGCCTTATCGCCTCTGCTGCTTCCTGGGCTTCCTCACTTCCTTTGCTAATTGCCAGGCACTCTTCTACTTGCTCCCTGAGAAAAACAAGGCAAGGGCAGTAAATACTTGTAGGCCTGCATGTCTAAAAATGTCTTCATTCTCCTCTCACATTGGCTGACTGATGGAGCATAGAATGTTAGGTTGAAAGTAGTTTTCACTCAGTATTTGAAGACATTGCTGTGGTACTTTCTAGCACCTAGTGTTGCCAGGACATCTGAGGACATTCTTATTCCCAATTCCTTGCACGTGATTTTTTTCTAGGGTTTTTTTCTTTATATAGTAAGTGCTCTGAAAATTCATGATGACATTCTTTGCCATAGATCTTTTCTCTATTTATTTTACGTATACTTAATGAATCCTTAACTCTGCGTGCAATCCTTCTCCCTTATCCTCAGTGGATATGTTCCAAGACCTCCAGTGGATGCCTGAAACCACAATTAGTACCAAACCCTATATGTACAATGTTTTTTCCTACACACACATACCGATGATAAAGTTTAATTTATAAATTAAGCACAGTAAGAGATTAACACCAATTTAAAAATAGAACAATTATAATAATATACTGTAATAGAAGTTATGTGAATGTGGTCTCTCTCTTGCTCCAAATATCTTAATGTACTGTACTGACCTATTTTTGGCCTGCTATTGACCATGGGTAATTCAAACTGTGGATTGGGGGGACAACTACCTGTGCTCAGGTCCCATAGTTCTGAGAAATTCTCTTCATTCAACCTCCCCTACTCAGCCCAGATTCATCCTCACCATCTTCCCTACATTGCCCAGTTTGACAGGATGAATCCAGTCACTTCTCCATGAGACCTGACTTAGATTTCATCATCCTCCACTCTTCTAAGTCATCTGTCTCACTTCCCAAATTTCTGAGTCTTCTTTTTTGGTCTTATCTTGCGTCTTCCATTCCCTCTCTCTTTGTGGCTTTCTGAGGGTTAGCAACTGATCTAGCAACTGGAACCCCAGATGCTAGCATTTTCATTGGTTCAAGTGTAAAATTCCCAAGCATTTGGGGAAAGTTGTACTATTAAATTGATGCTGGATGTCTGTAGAATTTGATATTTAGGATTTCCCTCATCCACAGGCAACTCCCAAGGTTCAGGAAATACAGAACTCAGTGACTGGGGGGAGGCGCACACTGAAGGCAGCTGCTCTGGGGAGTGACACAAAGAGTGCCCAGTCAGCATCTCAATGCCGAGCTGTTGTTCTCCACTTGTCAGACAGGCATTAAATAATTAAAATGATTTCTTTCCAAGGAGAGGTCATCCAGGGAAATGAGAGCTCTCAAATTGAAAAGATGATATGTTTGTGGCTATGAGTAAGAAACATCTGACTCCCGACAAATATAATTTAAGGAAAAGCCAGAAATTTGTATAAACTATTTTGTATTTGTAAAGCTACAAATACAAAATTGTATGTCTAAAGTCTTTGGACACACACTTACCCATTGTCAAGGATTGTCTGTATTTTTTAAGGTTTAATGAAAACACACATTCCCAATCAAGTCAATTAAGTTTGCCAGTTTATTAAGGCCACAGCGAGGGATGATGCTAATGGGCTGATGGCTCTTGGGCGAGTTACAACGGAGAATCTGAAGCTGTTTATTTGGATTCCTGAGTTTCTCTCCTCCATTACTATAAGTAAAAGATGACTCATTTTTTTTAAAAGTAAACTTCTTGAGATACTATGTTATGGATCATGCAAGGCTATAATAAGAGATGATCTCTGTCCTCTTGGGTTTATAATCAAAGGCTTCAGAATAAATTATTTAAATGATTTCTGAAAAACTACATATCATTTATTGCATACTAAAATATTAAAACTAAAATATTTGTGAATTGACTGTATTTTCACTTCCCCATTTTTCAAACAGTTTTAGAAACCAGGATTCAACTACTGAGCAGCACTTTCTTTTCTCTTCTTTCCTCCTCTTCCTTTTGTGGATAATGAGAAACTTCTAAGAAGCACACTGTATTCATACTAATAATTTATTACACTTACCTGATTCCAAACCCCTCATCTTAGATGTGTCTCTTTCTCCTTTTTCAAAGTAAAATAAATATCCTCTTAAAAAGCCTCTAAGCTCTTCCACAGGAATATCTTCCCATTTTACTAATATAGAATCTGCAGAAGTATCCTCAACAGTAAAATTTGGTGCCACAGTTGGAGCTGTGAAAGGAAAAAGTCAACTGCTAAAGGAGGGTTTACTCACACAAAGTAAGACAGTAACATTTCGTGAGATTTCTAGCTTCCAAAATAACTAAACCTGAAATTGAAACTTTATTCTCTATTTAATCATGAACTTCCAGAGGTATTACCATGAACACTTTTGTAGTGAAGCTTATATACTAATAACCACAGAAAAAATGTTTTTAGGCACAAAGGTAGAACTTACAATACCACTTTTAGACAAAACACATACCTAGGGAAGCAACCTATGCAAAATCTTTAAGTAGCTACTCAAACAGACTTCATTAGTATTTCTCTTCTTTATTGATAATCCTGAATAATTGTTTTTTTAAACTTCTATAAGTGCAAATTAAATATTTTGACATCCAAGTTAAGATTTAATTTTCTTGATGACAACAGTAAAATTGTGAATTTCATTGTGGTGTGGTTAAAGTTTTAGTTCTCTAATTATGTGTCCAGAGAACACCAGTGCTCTGTAGGCTCAAACGTGAGATGGTCAGCCTCTAAAAAAAGTCATGCAATACAAAGAAAAACTGGAGAGACTTATCTAAACTTTAACTTTCCTTCTTGGAACATTTTCCCTTAAAACAAATGGGTTAAGAATAAGTAATCAAATTTACCATATAAATTTACCATATAAATTATTTACCATATAAATTATTTTACCTTCTTTGAACTAAACATCTAATTCTATCTATTTTTAGAATTCATTCTTACTACTGCTGTTGATTTATAAGTTTCCATATTACCTATAAGTCTAAAAACAACTTATACATTTAACTTACCCAATTCTTTTATATATCCAATTATGGAACGTAGTAATTGATATCCTTGATTTCTGCACCCATACAGGAAAAATTTATATCTTACACCTGGTCGAAACTGATCTACAGGATGAACACAATCAATAAATTTTCATAAATATTTATTAATATGAATATCTAGTTTAGAAATATAAAATTTAAAATAACATTTTGAAATTCCCAAAGCCAAATTTAAACAAATGTTTTCTTATAAAAAATACATCTGTATTTTCAAAATTGGTAAATAGAGTGAAAAATGACTAAACAAAAAAATTAAACAAATTCACTTCTATTGTAATGAAAAGTTTATCTATAAGATGGCATCTCCTTGCATAGGAGATCCAGGCTTACATTTTGTTCCTTACAAATCAAGCAATGATGATTTCTTTCCAGATTTGATCCAGGGTCAGTTCACTAAGCCATTGCAGGTCCACATCATGCCTCTATAAATCCCTTCCCTACGTAATGTTCTTGCTGGGTTGGAAAAAAACCACTACTCCATTCCTTTGCTCCAAGAAGCAGAACTAAAAGTTCACTCTGTCTTGAAGCTTTAGTGTTAAAGGAACTGTACTTAGCGTCGATTCCTCTTTATAGCATCACCATGAAGTGTCCTTGGGTGAGTTAACTGCATAAGACATACCAGGGAAGTACCTTAACTTCAGTTCAAAAGGCCCTTTTAAGCACCTCCTCAATAAAACATGTGCAATGTGTGCAACGCAGAGATGCACAAAACAAGGTCCCTGGCACAGAGACCTGGCAGAGTGGTGGGAAAGACAAATGAATGGGGTGACTGTGACAGCACGTTACACTAGAGGTACAGAGCAGATGCTGTGGAACCTTAAATGAGAGACCAAACGAGTCTAAAAAGATCAGAAAAAGCTACCATAAGCTGACACCTAAGCAGGGCCTTGAAGGGCAATTAGCAGCTCAACAGCCCCCAGCCCAGAAGAAAATGCTGGGAGGAGAAATGGCAGCATTCGAAATTGCCTTTAATTTGCTGAATGCAATGATTCCAGTGTGATTAAGCCATCGGTTTTCTAATTATTTGCCCACAGAATGTCAGTGGTCTACAGGCTCAAATGTGAGATGGTCAGCCTCTAAAATCACACAATCCAAAGAAAAATTGGAGAGACTTGTCTAAATTTTAACTTTTCTTCTTGGAATATTTTTTCTTAAATGTTTGCTAAGTGCTGGCAAGATCTAAGTAAATATCAATGGAAACTCAAACTCAGCCAACTGTGTTTAGTTTTGTAACTTTTTTCTTTGTGGAAAAGTATCCTGAGGTTAAGACTAAAGTTAAAGACTAAAGTCTTTATAGTGCATAAAGATTAGTAAATCTGTACCTTGTTTTATGTTAAAATTATAAATTATCGATAATCTATAGGACTTTGGCACCTTAAAATAAAAAAGAGTCTCAGTGGTTTAGAGCACTAGGAACGTACTGAGGGCATAAGAAAGAGTAGACCACAGGAAGAGAAAGGAATAAGAGGCTCACTAGTGGCACCTGATGTTCTAGAAGCTCAGTAATGAATAAAAGATAACATTCCCAGCCTCCTGAAGCTTTGAATAGCCTTGAATTTGAACACCAGTTCTATCACATACTAATTTTGTGACCTTGGGCAAGTTACCTAATTTCTCTGAGTCTTTGTTTTCTCAACCACTGCAGGGCCTTTGCTCATCTGCTCTGGCACAGAAAGTTCTTCTCCTCCCTCAATCATCATGGGGCCCACTTCTCCACATCCCATAGGGCTCAGCTAACACTTGTATCTGTAGATACTCTCTTTACATCCACACCACCCTACCCTAGTCCACCCCAATTACCCCAAGGCCTAGGGAACAGGCATGACACACCCTCATTAGCTACTCGGAAGAAATGCTGGTACTGGAAAAGGGGCTCTGATTCCAAAGGATGAGGCTGTTTCAGCTCGTAGGTGAGCAAATACGCCTGAGGCCAAGCTTCTCAGGCTGCGCCAGGGCACTGGTAGCTTGCTCATGGCCCGCAGGCTCAGTAGCAGGTGCGGAACACAAGCTGCACAGTGTCCGGTGCCCTCTGCCTTGCAGCAGGAGAGTGAGGGTGGGTCAAGCCCTTTGTGCTCAGTTTCTCCCCAGCCCCAGCCCAGGGCAAACAACAGCAAAGACACACAGCTGAGATCACACTGCTTGTAATTTTGGAGTCTTTTTTTCATGAGTATTTCCCCATATTGTTTTAAATCTTTCATATATAATTTTTAATGCTACTTAACTTTCCATTTTATAGATGTACCATTATGTACTCATTCCCTTATTTGCTATTTGAGTTGTTTTTAATTTTTCACAATTATAAATAATGTTGTGGTGAACATTCTTAGGGGTAAACCTGTGTTGTTCTTGGATTATTTCTTAGAATAAATTCCCAGACAAGTAATCACTAGATCAAAGGGTTTGAACCCCTTCAGTACATACTGCCATAAACCAACTTCCGGGAATGCTAAACCCACTCACACCCGCCCAGCGGTAGAGGAAAATGATAATTTCACCACACCCAGTTCCATGTGTGTTACTTTTTAGGAATATTTTTTCAGAACTCTAACTGAGAGACATAAATCCACCTTACCAGATTCTATGAGAGCTTCAGTGCTATTTGAAGGAACTTTTCTCCAGTCCATAAGGCATGGTTCAGACCGCGATGAGTTACACCACTTGATGACATAGTCACAAGTCATGTTGGGGTTGTGATGCCAGGTGAGGAGAATCCCCTTTCCCATTCCAACAGCCTGCTCTGTTTTCACATCATCTTCAACAAGAAAGATATGTTACTGGCATTAAAAACAACAATGTAAGGCAAACCTCATGAAAATGGATGAGTTATAAAAATCACTGTGAAGAAATTATAAAATAATACTCAAACTAGATAAACCTTTAGCAAATATTAGAAGTGTTGCTTTGTTATTTTTACTGTAACAACTATAGCACAGACCAACAGAGCATCAGAAAGAAAAAGCTAAAAAGGAAAAAAGCACCTAGTATCGGGCAGTGATGTACTGAGGCCAGGACATGAAGATCAGGGCCAGGAACAACAGGGCTGAGGGCACTGGAGGGGACAGGGCTTGGAAGACAGGGAGGAGGCGGGAGGCCGGGAGGACACATGGGCAGTCTAAAGGCCTCTTCTCAGCATCTGCCATCAGCTCTCTGTGAGAGCACACAGCAGGCTCAGGCCAAACCTGTGGCAAGAGTGGATGAACTGGCCCCTTCTCTCCCTTTCCAGGAAGCCTGTGGCTAGCCCAGAGCTGGGCTGAGGGGGATTCTGCTGACCAGAAGCAGGATGGGAGCGAGAAGAACCCTCACTGGGAGGGGGGCAGCCTGTGGGCACAGGGAGAGGAAGGCAACACAGCGCCCCAGGGGACCCCAGGGCAGGATGCAGAGGCTGAGGGGAGGGGACTGGTGGTGGCTGTGGAGAGGTTTTGTTTCCCCATCTGGCCAGATCTCACTTAGGTGAAAAGTGGGGGCCCAAGCTGGGAATGAGGAATTGGGGTGTGGATGTTAGGGCAGTGTGGTCAAAAGGGAGAGGGACATTTCTACAGAAACAGGAGAAAAGAAGTAACTTCTATGACTGACTTATATTTAAGGGTTCAGTAAAAAGCCATAGAAAGGTTTTTTGAACAAAATTTACATTCATAAAACAACTACTGAACGCAAGACAACGACTTAGCTTAGAAGCCTTAGCTTAGAAGACAGAATAGGCTGAACGTAACAGCTTTCTGGCTCAATGTGATTAAAAAGCCACAGTGTAAGCCTGAGCTGAGGCTGCAGGGTCTCCACCTCGGGATTTGTTCTGGGGCTTTGCTAATTGTCTGAATGCTGATGACTAGACCATTGCTAGTCCTGTAAATGACCATCCTCAGAGGGACCCACGGAAAAGGGGGCATTGCAGCTCTTGAATTAAAAGACAGCACAGCCATTGCCTAGCACTGTGAGAGCAATGAAAGACACAATCTAAATCAGCAGGTTATCTTTTTATGGATGTTTGCACATCTCTCTTTTATTTTTGCCAGGCCAACATGAAGAGGCATTAGTCCAGCTGTTCTAAGCACTACCTTGGGGCTTTTGCAACACCAGCCAGCACTGCCATCTGGGCTCTGGCCCGTGCTCAGCATCTCTGACATGCATGATGTGTCCCCATTCCTTCCTCCTAATTCTCTTACGGCTGACTCAAACAGAACAAAGAACCAGTTAAGTAACAAGCAGTAAGAAACTGCCTCAAGCTAGAGCTGAAAAGATACTTAGAGGACCCTAACTGGACCAACTGTTCATCCTCTAGGAGTAAGTGGGTGGTTATAGAAAGGTGCTCCCATATTGGGGCAGGACAGCAAAGTGGGGACAGGCAATGACTTGAAAGAGCACTTAAGTGAAAGAAGAGGTACAAATCGCCATTCAAAACCCGACTCAAAAAGGTGTCAAGGTAGAAGCTAAGGAGGAGTATACTAGTCACTGGAAATGTGTAAAATTTAAAGGAAGATTCTAAATAATTTTAAAATTATACAACAGTTATTTTTTTAAAGCCTATATTGAAGATCTTAGACTTAAGAAAACTTTCTTATCAATAAAGAATTCCAATTTCTTATCAAAAGCTGTCAATTAAAGTGAGTATTTCTTCCTGCCTGATAGTGTGCAAAACAGCACAGCTGACATAACATAAACTCTCCTAGCCTTGGAGAGAGATTTGAAACCAGTATTTGAATAAATGGCTAAAATATTTCTTCCCCAAGAGCACTATCCACTACCATAACTCTCTAACATTATGCTATAAAGTAACTGAATACCGTGATTATTTTATCTACCAGTGCACATGCTTCAAGTCAACACTAATGACTGCTCTCTCTCAATGAGGAGCAGACCTCAATGGCTTGTTCCTCTTTCCGCAGCAGCAGTAGCAGCAGGATGCATGAGAAAAATGCTGACATTATATAAGAGCAAGTATATCAAAAATTTTCACTTTAATTTCCTATTCTCATATACTAAATCATCTCAAGCACTCACCATGTGGAATTTCCATGCTAGCTATTTTAGAAGGTGGCGATGCACCCACAGAATTTTTGGCCACCACACTGATGATGTAGTCATTTTTATTAAGTTGTATTTCTGCTTTGTGCTGAGGGTCAAGGATCTCAGAAAGGGACTGTGTTTCCTCATCTGATGAACACGATACATTATAAGAAAGTATTTTTCCATTAGCTTCACTGATGGGTAAAGGCTATGAAAAACAGAGAAATAAATTATTATGAAAAGTTGCAAAAAGTTGCCATCTGTCCAAACTAGATGCCACATTAACAGTAACAAGGTAACATCAGAAAAGATGACATTCTTAACAGTGTGAAACATTTAAAATCCACTGAGACCCAGAAAAAGCAGGAAAATGATACTGAAGAAAAACTATTATTTTCTATAAGCAGTAAGAGTACACAGAAACTTAAAAATTAGGTAAACACAAAATAATATTTATCTTCACATTTTTCAGAAGAAAATTTTTAACAAGTGGTCAGAAGCATCTACTTAATAACAAAAAAGTGTGGTTTTTAAAAAATGTTTATTGTTTTCTCACTTTAAAGTATTATATTCCCATTACAGAAAATTTAGTATACAAAAGTTGAAAGAAAACAAGTAAAAATATCCCATATTCCAACCTCTTAAGGTCACTTACATTTTGATATTTCTTTCACATTGTTTTTCTAGGTGTAGATTTTTATTAACACTGTTTTAACCATACTATAAAATTTTGTATTTATTTAATTTTCTAAAATCTACACTAGTCCATATTAATGCAGTTATATATATTTTAATGATTTTATAACTCATGTAGCATTTTTACTAGTATACTTGAATATTCCTAAAATAAATGAAATTTCAGTTGTTCCCAATTCTTAGCAATACTAAAATAAATATTTTGGTGAATCTTTTTTGACACGTTTTTTTCTTTTTCATAGTTAGGATTAATTTTTTAATATGAATTTCCAAAAGTGAACTTACTTAATACAAGAAAATGAACATTCAAACTTCTTCATTTATAAAGCTAACATGCTTTTCAAAACAATCGCCCCAATTTATATGTCAGTGTATGGGCTCTGCTGATCCAGACTGGGCTCATGTTAACAACATTGCTGCAAACACTGCCCCAGCGGAGGTCTCTGATGCCTCCCCAGTGGCTGCTCCAGTGGCAGACTATAGTTCTAGGACTTGTGCACTTCCTGTGATACTCGTGGCCACTCACTCCTTGAAACAGCTCCCTGCCATCTGGTTTCTATAATTCTATATTCTTTGGTTTTCCTGCCCCTCTGACCTTTCCAATCTCCTGTGCAGGCTCCTTGTCCTCCTCCTCTGCCAGTGCTTTGTATGCTGCTATCACCTGGGCTCCATCCCTGGCCCACTTACAACCTCCCATGTTCCCCCCAGTGACTGCACGTGTGTGTGCTACTCAAAGCTACATCTTCAGCTCTGACCACTCCCCTGAGCGCCAGAGCCTTACAGCAAACCACTACCCACTAGACTCTACTCAGATATCTCAGTGGCACATATTTTAAAAACTCACCATATCCAAAACAACACACTTTTCCACCCAAACATGCCCTTCCTTGGCAAATAAAGGCACCAACATAGTCAGTGAAGTTAAAATCTGAATCACTTCAGCATTTTTAGTCCTTGTGTTAAATCTCCACCTAGTTTTAACAATATTCCAAACTGTCTCTATATTGTAGTAACTTGTTTAACAGTTGCTATATAGTCAGGAAATCCGACAGACAGCTGGGAGAAGCCAGGGGATTTTCTAATCAGAAGTGGATGCAACAGTCAAATACAGATGATCTCAAAGCAACGTAACTCACCCTGACCTTGCATGTACACCCCACTTCACTCAAAGTTGTAGAGATGTCAAATTTTTGTAAAAATAAAATTAAGTTTTACTTTCAATAACAAAATTCACTACTTAAAAGAATCCTATTATGACTGCCATATGAAATCTAATGTAGAAAACAACTGTTCATGTTTTTGACCTTCATAAAATATTTAAAAATATATAGCAACAAAATGCTCTAATACAGAAAGATTAGTAAAATATAATGTGATTCATATTTCATCTAAATATTTTATAAAACCATGCCAAACTTTATAATTGGCATATTATAGCACAATTTAAGAGAAACAAATTGCACATGAAATATATTAAAAATCAGTTCCCCATTCATAGAAAAAAAATGTAATAAACATTAGAGATTCTACCATGTAGTTTTTGACATTAGGTGAGGAAGATGGAATTCATGAAATCCTTTATAGGCCTCATAAAAATCACACTAAAGAATGGTCAGATCTGAGACTGAAGATCCTTGCTAAAATGACTGTGGGGAATTAGGAGTGATGAGGCATTTGGGGGCCTTTACAAGCCAGGTTAGATTCTCTGCGATACCGCAAACAAAGCCCGAAATCTCAGCTCCTTGATAACCAAAAGCAGTTCTGTATAATGAAGTTATGTAAATGCACAAGGAAAAATTAGATAATTACCTTCCAATAGATTATCAAATTTTTTCCATCAGAACTCCACTCTCTCCAAGTATCGGGTCCATTTGAAGGAACTAGAAAGGAGATTTACAAGTTAGTACTTGAAGACAGATACATACTATACATACCATGGTGCTTTAAACTTTTTTCTAGGGTATCTGGAATTCTTAATAAAATGTGAAGCAGTTCAGTGGCTTTCACTTAGCAAATGAAGCAATGGAAAAGCTCTCAACTTTTATAAAACACAAGGCCCCTCAGACTGGGTTAAAATCATCTTCCAAGGCCTCCCTGACTAGCCCCAGTGCTTGTCACCCCCCGTCTTTCAAGTCAGGACATCTCTGGCCACCCACTGGCATCCTGGCTGTCCCTCAGATATACCACAGACCCCTGCCTCAGGTACTGTGCACTTTCTGTGTCCTCTCTTCCTCTGCCTAGAACTCTCTTCTCTTAAACCATGAGGCTTGCTTTCTCATCTCCTTTATTTTTATTTATTTTTTAATTTTTTTGAGACAGAGTCTCACTCTGCTGCTCCCACTAGAGTGCCATGGTGTCAGCCTAGCTCACAGCAACCTCAAACTCCTGGGCTCAAGCGATCCTTCTGCCTCAGCCTCTCCAGCAGCTGGGACTACAGGCATGCGCTACCATGCCCGGCTAATTTTTTTTTCTATATATTTTTAGTTAGCCAATTAATTTCTTTCTATTTTTTTAGTAGAGATGGGGTCTTGCTCTTGTTCAAGCTGGTTTTAAACTCCTGACCTTGAGCGATCCTCCCGCCTCAGCCTCCCAGAGTGCTAGGATTACAGGCGTGAGCCACCGCGTCCGGCCCCTCATCTCCTTTATATCTCAGTACGAATATTATCTTAATAAGGTCTTTCCTAACTATGCTATTTAAAACTACAATTCCCTTCACACCCTACCCCCCCACCTCCATCTTCACCCCCCACCCCCTTCCTGTCCCTTAGTTTGCTCTGTGGCACTCATCATCATCTAATATGTAATATATATATATACACACACACACACACACATAATGTGTATGTATATATGTATATATTATATATGTATATATTATATGTGTGTGTGTGTATTCATTTAATTTATTCCTAATTCAGGCAGAAAGATGTATTTTATCCATTGCTGTGTCCCTGGTAACTAGGACAATTCTAGCACATATAGGTTGAATATTCCTTATCTGAAATGCTTGGGATCAGAAGTGTTTCAGATGCTGGAATATTTGCATATACATAATAAGGTATCTTGGGGATGGGACCTAAACACAAGATTCATTTATGTTTGGAGACAGAGTCTCGCTTTGTTGCCCGGTCTAGAGTGAATGCCGTGGTATCAGCCTAGCTCACAGCAACCTCAAACTCCTGGGCTCAAGCGATCCTCCTGCCTCAGCCTTCCAAGTAGCTGGGACTACAGGCATGTGCCAGCCACATGCCCGGCTAATTTTTTTCTATATGTATTAGTTGGCCAATTAATTTCTTTCTATTTATAGTAGAGACAGGGTCTCGCTCTTGCTCAGACTGGTTTCAAACTCCTGACCTCGAGCAATCCACCCGCCTTGGCCTCCCAGAGTGCTAGGTTTACAGGTGTGAGCCACCGCGCCTGGCCTATACAATGTTTTAAATAATTTTGTACATGACACAAAGTTTGTGTTACATACTTATGGGTGGCATCATGTCAGCCCTCAAAAAGTTTTGGATCTTGGAGCATTTCGGATTAGGATACCCAATCTGTAATGCATTTCTGAATGAATTAAAGCCCTCATCTCAGTGAGGTGCAAAAAAGATGTTTCCTCTTGGCAACAACAGCTCATGAACTTAAGGCAAAAACTCCTGTCACAGCCAGTCTCCCAAATGACCAATGATCCCCACACCTCCTGATATCCATCCTCTCTCACGCTCTGTCAGGGTTGGCCTGAGGGACCAATGGGGTACAGCAGACACGATGGTACGTCACTTCTGATTTTAGCTCATAAAAAACATTCTTCAATCATCAGCTCTGGGAGGAGCTAGCTACATGTCATGAGGACACTGAAGCAGGCCCACAGAGAAGACCACACGGTGAGGAACTGAGGCCTCCTGCCAACAGCCATGGGAGTGAACCACCTTGAAAGTGGATCTTCCGGCCCCAGTCCAGCCTGTAGTCCCTTCTCACCTCCTGTTACACATACTACAAAGGCCCTCATCTCTATTTTCACATCTCTTCAGGTGGAGAGGCAAAATCTGGATTAACATCTATCATTTTGCTTTTTACTCTTTGTTAATTTTTTTTCGAGGAAGTTTTATATTTTCTGGATTATGTAATACAAATAAAGCATTTGTTATCTTTTACTGAATGTGAAGGAGCTTGAGGAATTTCACCCCAAAATATGATATATACTCCTTGATATAAAGAGTATTCTGATTTAAAGGCCCTTAGAGATCAACAGGCATTGGAAGGGGCTTTCCCTCTATCTTCATTAAAAACCAGATGGACACATCAGGAAGAGTAATCGTCTTTCCTTCTCCTCCCTGTTACCCCAATGTATTGCAGGATAGAAGATCAAGATGCAACCAGACCTGGCCTAATCCATTTTAAAGATAATAATACCTGTCTCTCAGGTTAATTTAATTTCCAAAGAATCACTTACAAGTTAATCTGTTTTCCTCCATCCATTCATTAATCCAAGTATCTATTCATCTTCCTAACAACCATTTTTTTTTTATTGCCCTTAAACAGAATTACCTATATTCTTCATCTCCTCTTCCTCTCTAAAATGAGGGTATATAAACTTCTAGACCCCACTGGGATAATCATAATCACTCTGTGATTCTCCTCATGTAAGTGGTAAAGAAATTTGTAATCTCTCTCTCTTTTTAATCTGCCTTATTATGAGTCAACCTTTCAGCATAACTTTTGGGGGCAAATGAAAAGTTTTCCTTCTCCCCCACAAATGATTCCTGAAAATCATATCTATTTTTAAGTTTTGTCTTGTTTTGTTTTTAAAGGTAACATCTGGTTATTCAAGGATTGAATACTATTCTGTCTTTGGAAATTATCATATTCAGAAAACCAGCTATCTGATTTTATACCTTAAAATCACATCATTTCTCAGGCCTAGGTCTCAGATAAAAACTCTAAAAAATTCTCTTTATTAATAATTGTTTTAGAGAAAAAAGCAACTAGAGTCAAATAAATGACTAAAATTCCAACAGGAGGAGGAAAGGCTGTGAGAAAAATCATCCCATAATTGTACCACAGTTTCAAGTTTGTTTTCCTATGCATTGTTGTAATACAGTTGACATCACAGTGTAGACAGAGAAGTCCCTCGTACTTTTACAGAATTTATGCCAAACATTTTTCCACATTATGACAAAACTTTAAAACCCATCATTTAAAATGTCTATGTGATATTTTATTAGTAGATATTACATAATTTATTATCTAAGTATTCCCCTGCTTCTAAAGACTCTGGTAACATTTTCTTTAAAAGAAAAAGTTGTAAAACTTGAAGATACATAGCAATAATTAGCCATAAATCACTTAGGCAACTCACTGGCTTCTGTGGTTAAATGTTGTTTTTTATTGCTCCATTTGCTCCATTTCCAGAAAGTTTCAGTAGAACAGCAAATCCGAAAAGTATATACAGTATATGGATTTAACTTGCCCACAGCAATGCGATAACTTGAATTTTCTACTCCTTTGATTGTGACATTCCGCTATGAGAAAACAAACAAGTATGTGTATATATATGTGTCTATACCATGTGTGTATGAATACACATATACACACATTTTATTGGTAGGAAAGCCTTCACATTTGTAACATAAATCAACCAAATGTCCATGTGAAGTGGCATATATAATACCAAAAGCAGCTCATCCACTGTAATATTTAAATTCTTATATAAATGCCAAATCAATGAAATTATACTGTCATGACAATAAAAAATTAGGATATCTTTTTAATCCAAGTATTGGCTTTAAGTAATAATTATCAATTAAATTATGCAGAAGATAAAATTTTTATAATTAGTCAATGGTCACAGTGATGCAATAAACCCTCACATAATTTAGTAATTGAAGATGATCTTAAGAATTAAATATATTATTCAGATGATACTTGGAAGCTTCTTTGAGGCAGGCATCATCTTTTATGCATCTTTGTTAATATGTCACAAAGAACCCCTAGTATGGTGCTCATCATGTAGTAAATATTCAACAAATACTTATTTAAACTACATAAATAAAATTAAAATGAAGCAATTACAAATGAATCTGAAGATCTGCATGTCTCACAAAAGCCTGTTAGCTTCCACTGACTTATCAAAGCAGCTTTTCAGGTTATATTTTATAGTTTGGGCTGATTTTCTAGAAATCAGTACATTTCCAGATGAATAGTTAAGTGCAATATCATTTATTTTAGACTTACCACAAACTACAAGATGGTGTGGTATAAAAGTCAACCTAAATATTTAAAATGCACTAAAAAGTCAAATTTTGACTTATAATTACCAATTACAACTGGTTTCCACTGCTGCACTTTGCAGTTTTAAAAATCACTTCTGCTCTCTGGTGCCAATTAATCCATTAACTGATGCTAAAGGTTATGGCAAAACTGCTCATTCATTCACAAACTGACCAAACACCAGCTATGTGCCAGGTACCATACTGCACCTGGGAACATTCTGAGTAGTAAAAGTCATATTTACATTCTATAATATCCACTATTACAATTACTGTTCAAATGTGGTAAATATAATGCTATTACACTGATATATAATGTCGTTCTTGGTTCTTAGTAAATCACTACAATAAATAATCTGAGAACTTAACCATATCAATTTACTTAATGCATTCTGTGAAAAGGTTTTATCCAAAATAATCACAAAGGAAGTTTATAGAAGAATCTTACTTACCGATTCTTGTACTGAATTAATTTTATTAATTTCAATTTGACATAAAAGATTAATCTTTCCAAAGCTGCCTGGTAAATGCCAAGAAAGTATAACTGCTGTTGAATTAATATCTTTCACTTTCAATGAAGTAGGAGTATAGGGATAAACTGTAAACAAAATTTTAAAGATTAATTACTTTATACATTTATTTCAATTACTTTATACATTTATTTATTAATTACTTTATATATTACTTAAAGCTATCTTCTAACATGAGCAGTGAGAATGAAAAAACAAAAAAATAAGGTATCATTAGTGCAAACAACAATATTCTACCCAATATTTGTAGAAGCCACAAACCTCACTTTTACTGCTGACATCATGCCAACATTTTTTAAGACCCAATCATACTCAAGGTTCTTCAATTGGTGCTGCGAATACTAAAAGGTAGTAAGATCACAATCTCTACCTTTAAGGAATTTCTAATCTACTTGGGGAATAACCATGAAAACAAAAGAAAATGAGTAAGAGTATACACACAAAGTTCTAATGCATGGTACGGATAGTACCTGCTATAGGAATTTAAATGTAAGCATGGTAAGGGAAGTCTTGCAGTGAAGATGGAACTTAAGATGAGTTTTGAGGGAAGAATCATTCTAAAGCTGGCAAAACAAATGTAGAAAAGCACTTCAGGTTGAGGTTTTGGCAAGAACGAAGGTACAACAAAGCTAACTGCATTACTGGTGACAATGCATACACCCACTTGAGTGGTGGAAAAGAATCACATAGGTATTAGGGTTGAAACGGCAGAGGGCAGACAAACACATACAAATACTACCCACTCGAGGATAAAATGTAGTCATCATGGCCCCGGGTGAAAATCAGGAAATAACAAAGATGCCAGGAAGGAATAATTGATAAAAGTAACTTATATTTACAAACAAGGCAACGGCATCATGTACTGATAATGTACTTGGTTCAAGCTCTTTCTCCTCTGACTGTGAGTCTCTAAGAGAAGGTCTTTATGCCAGCAGTCCCCAACCGTTTTGGTACCAGGGACCAGTTTCGTGGAAGATAATTTTCCCACAGAAGTTTAGGGGGTATGCACTGAGCTCTCAAGATGGTCATGCGAGCAATGCGGAGCAGCTATAAATACAGAAGCTGGCTCACTCAGCCTGCTCCTCCTAAGTTTCATGGAAGACAATTTTTCCACCAATGGGGTTGGGGTGGGGACCGGTGGGGGGGTGGTGGAGCTTTGCGTCCTGTCCCCAGGGGTTGGGGATCGCAGCTCTATGCCACTGCTCTGTGTGCTGCAGAGCCTGGCAAGGAGTTAATGCACATGGACTGACCATGGGAATGAAGGCCAAAAAGATCACTACATTTTATTTCTATTTTGAGCTATACATTAATAGGGTTGATAAAAATTCAGCAATCATCAACAATAAAAAGGAATAATTATTGATACATGTGACTTGTATGGTTCTCCAGGACATTATCCTTAGTAAAAAATACCAACCTCAAAATGTTACATACTGTATGATTTCATTTATGTAACACTCTCAAAATGACAAAGCAATACAGGGGAAGAACAGATTAGCTGTTGCCAAGGCACAGGAGTGTGTGTGGTGGGGGGCAGGGCCAACATGTGGAAGTGCTTTGGTGGTGACAGATCAGGTTTGGATCTTGATTGTGGTGGCGGTTACATGAATCATCTATGAACAAGATAAACTGCATAGGATGACACACACACACACACAATTACAAATGAAAGCACATGAAAAATGAGCAATGTCAACAGTCTAGTTCGCAGTGATGTACCTCAACATCAATTCTCTGGTTTTGATACTACACTACAGTTACACCAAATGACACCATTGGGGAATGCCAGGGGATGGGTCCACAAGGCTCTAATTTATTATTTTTACAACTACTGTTGTGTCTATAAGTATTGCACAATAAAGGTTTTCAAATTTGAGCAAAAAAATATTCCAGAAATCAAAAATTATAAGACAGAGCTACTTAGTTTCTTTGTAAATGAATAATTCAAATTTTTATTTAAATTCAATAGTAAAACTTGAAATTATATATTTTAAAGCATTTAAAAATAACAAAATTAATATTAAATAACTATAAAAAATAATCAGTAAAAAGTAATCCCCAGAAGCACTTTTCATTAATTTCAAGGCATTTCAGACACTTCCAAAATTATTTTTAAAGCACTGGTTTACATAGTAGCTTACCTTTTTCAGTTATGTTAACTAAAATTGTTGATTCTGATCGACCCAGGGGATTGCGAGCATACAAAGTAAAATTATATATTTCTTGATTTGGAACCATTTGTAAGAGTAACTGATGATAGCTTTCATTTGCAGACACGTCAACTTTTTTAAATCGAACATATTTTCCTGAAAAACTGTTAATTGAAAGAAAAATAATTTCAAAATGGCAAGATATAAATATCACAGGACACAATTAATGGGCAAATTTTGAATAATTTTTATAAACAGTTTACATTTATAATTATACACATTTTACATATTCAGAGAAAAAAATGTGTTATCGAAAATGGAAGAAAATAATCAGTCATAAGCCACACAGAAACAGTCTCTGTTCATTAAGGGTTCTTCCTTCTGAGCTTTGTAAAAGAGGAGACATGAAATCAAGTCTACATGTGGCTGAACTGTAGTATTTATAGAATACATAATTTTACATAACATACTTGGTTTTATATCTTGCTTATAAAATAAGGGATCTGGTACATTTCCCTACGTCATATAACGTGTACTTCAGAGTCCTCCTCGCCACTTCACACCTTTCCCCAGTTATCATTACCCTTCAAATAACTTGTAACTGGTATTGCGTGGGCCCACCAAGCCTGTTGATCTTCCTGGATCCCAACTACATATAATCTCTTTTAAATCATGTGTTTCACAATTCAGTTTTTTAGGAGTATCAGGTGGATCTGACAGAAAAAAGAAAAAAAAAGTAGGTATTTATGATTGAATATATTTTTCCTGAAAACATAATGTTTTATAAATGTTAATAATATTTTTATACAATTTCCTTAAATAAGAAAAAATTTACTGTTTACATTTTAACAATTCAGGTATTATTATTATTTCTACAGCATGTTTTGTCAGTTCATATTACATTAGAAATGATGGATTAAAATAACTGAAAAGTGACTTATAGCTCTTTTGGAAACTCCCTATAGCAACTTGAGAGATCAATTATCATTTTTTTCCTTAAATCCTATTTCAGAGTCTATCAAATGTCTCAAATAAACTTTTATCCAATAAATTAAATCAGAAAAATCTACAGGTGAAAAATATTATCATCTATCATCTATATATTGTGATATGGGAAAAAAAGCACCTAATCATATTAAAAGTCAATGTAAGTCATGTTACAAGTTTCAGAGTTCTTGAATATAAGAACTATTATTTACAAAGAACTCTTGATAAAATTCTGTATCTCCTTATATTCAAATTCTGTATCTCTTCATATTCAAACTACTGCTCTTTTGTTGTTTTTCTGTTTTTCAAGACTGTTTTCTCTGGCATAATGGGACAAGACCAGAAGAAAAAAGTTATTTTGTTTTGCTCGGTTTGTTTTTGTTTTTGTTTATTGGTGAGACCTTTAAAGTGATAAATGAAAATGCTGTAGTCTGGAACTGTTTATTATGGAAACTGATATTTCTGTAATCATGTTTAACCAAACATATACAGAAACTGATATTTCCTACTGTCATATTTATCCAAACTATCTTTCACTTTAGGTAAAAGTTGTCTTTTTAAAAATTATCTATTTGTTAAAAACTCTGTAAAATTTTATTTTTTTAAAAAACTGAGTTTTTAAAACACTCCTTAGTGTATCAACCAAAACTTAAAAATTTTACATATCTTTTCCCAGAGATATGAACAAAATCCTTCAATAATATTTTAACTAACATTAAGAGGAATAATGAATATTTATATAAAAGTTCAACAATTGGAAAACTAAACAAACATTGACATATTTGTTTTAAAAACTGTTTTTAATCTAAGACCAAACTTTCAGTTGCTTTATTAAAAATCATATCCCAAAAATTTGGAATATATTTCAAATGCTGATTATTGTAGGATTTGGCAGATATATTAAGTTGAAACACTTAAAATCCAAATATCAGGAACAAACTTAAAAGAAATTAAAGGATAGACAGAAGGGGAAAAATATAAGAGGACAGTATTTGAAAGGTGGTGTAAGAATTTTCTTTTCAAAGAAATAATCAACTGAAGCTAAGCAAAAGTAAGGTACAAAGCAACTATATTTAATACATCAGCAAATAGAAAATGCAATTTAAAAAACAAAGCCATCTTTAAAAACACCAGAAAACATCAAGCACTAGGAATAAATTTACCAAAAGATATAAAGACCTCACAAAGAAGACCTAAGTAAGTGGAGGGATATACCATGTTCATGGTTTGGAAGACTCAATATTGTAAGAATAAAAATTCTCCTCAATTGATCTATAGCTTTAATGTAATCCAAATCAAAATTCCAGCAGATTTATATTGTCTCTGTGTGGGTATGTGTATAAGAGAAAAATAGCCAGCTAATTCTAAAATTCTTATCAGCAATTAATGGTGGGTTAACAGGATATCCATAAAGAAAAGGAAATAAATAAATCTTGCTTCCCAGCTTACACTTTAACCTGCTCTTGTAAGTTTCTACAGAATTCCCTCTGAAGGAAGATGTTTCCACTACCTGAAAAATATTAAACAATATTTCAACCTCCAAATCTTATAAATTAAGGTTAAATTATGAACTAAATAACTGTGTTCTAGTACTATAATAAAAGATTAGAACACTGTCTGAAATAATAGAAATGGGGATAGTGTATATTCTCATCTTTAAAGTATTAATTTTTACGTTCATATTTTTAAGTGAACAGCTCACTTTTTGCTTCATATGTAGTGAAGCAACTTCACTACATATACTACATATATCACTGGCTCTCAACTTAGACTTTGGGACCATTTGTGAGAAATGTTGCAAGTAATTTCCTCAAATTCTCCAACGAAAGAGAATATAATTTTCTAAAATTTACATTTGAACATACTCTTACTTTCACTTGAATTCCAAAATACATTGCTGGGAAGAGAAAAAGAGGGTAAGTTAGAGCCATCAAGCTAAGAAGTGTATGTGATCCTGCTTATTCTCTTGGGAATATATTAGTATCTGTATGTCAATCATCACAAGATACTATAGAAGTAAAGAAGAGACTGAGAGCTGCTGTCTAGACTACAGCTGAGAATTATAAAAAAGCAAAAGAAAAATCACTAAGCAATAAAAGAAAAAAAGTCATAAAATCCACTCAATCCATCTCACATATTTTATCCATGAGACCCTTAGACCAAACTCAGAGCCTTTTAATTCAGGATGCAGGGAGGAAGAGACTTGCTGCTGGAGCTGCCACCACCAGTGACACCAAAACATTATAGTCACCACAAGGAAGGAGGCAGAAAACCTCTAAAATCAAGAGCTAACTGATTTATCCACGTAATTATCCGTGGATATTCAACATAAGCAATATAAAGAGGGAAGTTGCAACAACGTATTTTGGAAATATCATGGAATTTGTGGACTGCAGAAGTGATCATGTTAATAAAGGATGCCTCCAAATGAGGGAGCATACTCTAGACACAGAACACGGTGACGTAGTAAGTGTTCTCACCCGTGTCCTCCAGCCATCCAGTTCTCCTCAAATACATTACTTAAAAGTTGGAGAAGACACATTTTGCTATCCAAAGATGTATAAAATCATTATAATTTTTTAATGCAGGCACTTAAAAAGGAATGCTTTCATAGGTGGAGAATTAACTTGTATGAAACAGTTCCTAAACAATGTATGATTAATAAATATTACATACTAACAACCTTGACTTAACAAAGCTGTTAACTAGAAATTTAAACTAGGCATTAGCTGCTGGATAGTTTAAATCTTATTATAAAACCTACAAGTTGCATAGATACAGATATTTAGGGAAAAAGCTTAGGGTTCATTTTAAAACAAGCAAAAATCCTAGTACCTTTGTATTTCATTTACACTAAAGACAAAGAAATAAAAAAAAAAAAAGCAGAATCACCTCCCCTACCAGAAAAAGAATTAAGGCTTTCAAGGAAGCCCAAAACAGGTTAACAGGAACTCTCTCTTCAAAATCTTATACTTACATCCTGCAAAAACAACTGTTCCACATACATTATCTTCTATCATGAAAACCACATTTGTTCCACTATTTTCCGAAACAGAAATATTGTGGACCTTGATTGCAACATTTTCCCCGTCAAGATGGATAAGGGGACAGTATGTACTGCCAATCTGTGCTGATAACACTTTTTCTTGACTCACACAACAAAATGTTATATTTGAGCCTACAAGTATCACTTTGTCTTGAGGAAAAACCTTAGGCTGTGAATCAGGAGTCCCTAGAAAGAACAAAACGAATTATAAATATTTTAGACGTCTTTTAT